AATTAGCATGGTGAATTTTTCAAAGAAATTTCTACACTATTTACTGGATGTCTCCTGCGTCGTTTGTCGATGAATTGAACTTGCTGAAACTTATTTACAGTTAAGCTCTGAAGATATCAACAGGATGATCGGCGAAACGTCGGCAAATTCGATTCATCAATGACCGACGCAGGAGATTTGTAAGAAGATTTATAAATGGAATCAACATAAAGTTTCAAATTTTAGTGATGAATAAATTTTAAACGGTGATTTTTCATCGAAAATTTCACACCGGTGGTTTTCAACCAATCAAAATTATTTTTTTGACAAATTGTTATCGCAACACACGTATTTAACCGGAAATCTTCTTACCCTACTAGCAAGGTTAACAAGTGAAAATTTCCCTGTCATAACAAAAGTAGTGACGTTCCAATTTTTAAACAGTTTTGGTCTGAAATATATGTACTGAATCTCTCCCTTACTCTCGGAAAATTTTTCTTCGTTCCCGATTTTTCTTAGAAAATTACTCTTAATTACTTAATTGAAGCACTAGTGAAATTTTCATGTTTTTTCTTGAAAACCCTAACTGCCTCCAAGTTGCAAGTTCTGAGAAAAATGACATGTGGCAGATAAGAGATGTTAATAAAATGACCTTTTTTTTGGGAGAATTAAGGCAACTGAGATTTGGCGGATAAATGGTAATATAATGGTATTATTATATTTATCTATAATATTTTGGCTCGAAATTTGAAATCCTACATTTCCTTCAATATTCCAAGTCATGAAGTGATTCTCTTTATGGAAAGGAGACTTAAAAGATATATGAAATACATTTTAAGTTGGTAGAAAACATAGTTTAAACTATTACGAATACATTTGGAAACACCTTGTATGTTAATAATAAACAATGTCGGAACATTCCGCGAAACTTAAATAACCGCACACGAAAAGTTGCACGTCTAATTTTCAAGAGAGATTATGATTTATGATTACGTAGTTATTGTTATTTAAATATTAACAAAAGATTTAACAGGTTAATTATTTTACGCATTACGCGTCGGCGCATCTATTTCAGATATTTAATTGAATAATGTAATAAAGCGAAATAACGAACATCTCAAGGATTTCAACCTTTTAAAAACGCAGCGTGCCAGCACAGTTTAAGGTAAGAGGCTTGCTAAAGACTGTTTATGAGATTTGTTTGTTTATTTATGCAAGTTTTATGTTTTAATATTTGCACAAAGAAATGTTAAAATACCTATACAAACCTAAAACTGTCCTTTCTGACTTGTTTTTGTTCACTCGAGAAAAGAGAACCACCATTGTGATTCATGAGGAATGGGCAATCTCTAAATTGGAGATTCTGGACATGTCCGATACACTTTTCGATAGTTTCGGAGGAACAGGACAATTTTATCGTGAATTATTTTCTCATTAATTGAGAAAGTTTTTATAACATAATAATAAAAATGGGTAGTTTTAGGTTTTTTGACACTAAATTTACCAATTTGAAACGTATTTACGCGCCGCTTCTAGGGAGCGCTAGTTTCAGCGTGTTATTTAGATAAATCGAATTATATTTTTTTCTGCCGAGTTATGGTTCTACGGTTAATAGACAGCAACTGTCGTTGAAGCCATCGTTCTCTGTGGGTTTTTAACTTATTTGCATTTAAAAAGTTGAAGGTATGTTTTCTGTTTCTGTTTTATAAATACTTAAGTGGAGCAATAAAAAACCAATATTTATTATTTAGTTGCAATTGTCTACGACTTATACATTTTGGATACTCCTAACTCGCCTTAAGAGCAAATATGTAGTTTTATGCATTGTAGGGCGGCACCGCATTTGGCGTCGCCACTGCGCATATTTACAAGAGCAGTTTCCTCATCAATGGATTGACCGTAGAAGTGAATTTGTTTAACACACCAGGGAGTCCGGACTGAAACCCTCTGGACCTCTCGATAAGGTTTGGTATTGCTGAGCGTAATGTAAAATGTATTGAGGTAGAGATACTAGACAATTCCAATATTTGATTTGAAGTTTTTTATTACTATTACCAAAATTTTTATTGCTTAATATTGCCTTTTTATCGTTCCATGTAAGTCAAAAACCAACAGAATATAAAAATACCTTTTCAATTAATTGTTTCAGATTTTCATCTGTGTCAACCATAACTTGACCGATAAAAAAATCATTCGATTTAAATAAATAATACTATAGAACTAGCGTCCTCTCTAAGCAACATTCAAATTCGTATTTATCACATGAAAAAACTTAAAACATCAAAAATTTCTCAATTAATCTCTCTGCATCTCCGTATATATTGGAATTTCCAGTTTAAGCTTTCTGAAGCAGTTAATCAGCACCAAAATCACTCATTGACCTTATGGACTACAGAACTGAATCTAATTTTGTGACATAGATAATTTGAGCCCTGGGTTCTAGTTTCTAGAATATGATTTATTGCATTAAATTTTCTAAATTTTAGTTCCAAATTTTTTATTTTTACTTTTTACAATCGGTTTTATTTCCGGGAATAGCGAGATTTAAAACAAAATGTTAAATTCGAAATCAAATTCTCGTCATCACACTCTCTGCATATAATTTGTTCTTTTTTTATAAGCCGAATTTACAATTAGTTTCACGGACGGAAACAATTGTTTTGTCAATGAACTGAAAAGGTTACCCGAAGCCACTAGATCAAAGCTACAATTTTATTGTCCACGGAGTGATGGCGAATTAACAGAAGTGTGCAATTTCGAGCAGGAAATTAACCAATTTAGGAGGCCACCCATGTAAAAATGTACGTAGGTTGCAAAACTGGATTTTCTGAAAACCCCCTATAATATCAAAGTTCACATTTTGTAAATTGTTTTCTGATTAACCTCTGGGACAGTCGAAAAGGAGAAAATAAACAAAAATTTCAGAGGCCGAGATATTTGGAGCATGCCTTCACGTTTTTAAGGCGTAAGTCGAAAGGCATTATTTCTTTTTGAAAATTTAAAGAAATTACACTAAATATTTTTTATTGTTTCTTATTTACTATTAAAAAACAAATTTGAGAGATGTTTCAAAAAAATATGTCACGTATTACTTGAAGACAGAGAATTAGATCCAATTATTTGCCTGTTTCGAGTATCCAGCAGCTTAGTTTCCATCAAACAAGCCAGTACTCTTCTATTCATTAAAAAATCTTTATTCAAAAGTCAATCCATAAGTACTACGGCAAAAACAGCGCGGTGTAACATATCATAATTTTAAAAGATTTTCTCCAAATGACCGCTTCCAAATGCTACCCTTGAACCAACTACTCAATCTACCATCTTATAATAATTCATATAAAATTATGCAAAATTATTATGTCCATTATTAACGGACTTGACCATAAAACCATAACTCACATGCGACCGGTTTTTTTCTTTGCAAAATAATCTTGAAAAATTTCAATTAATGATTTGTCAGTGTCTTCATTCACTTCACTCACGTGGCACTAAACTCCATAATTACAGTCAAAAATCGTTTTCACTGACATTAGAAAGGACTGTCTTATTTCACTCGCCAAATCTCACGATTATTAAATTTAATTGTTCGCAATCCACAAAATCGTATGGTAGCATAAATTTTACACTTTGAATAAAAGATATTCTCATACGATAAAAAATAAGGTTGTACACTTGCATTATGTTCTTCACAATTGTACATCATGCTAAGTAAATGAATAACTTACAAAATCGGATGAGTTTAGCATGTAATGGCTACATTTCGCTTTTTATTAAAAAATCATGTTTTTGTGGCATACAAAAGTTAAATAAAATTAACACTTTTGTAGTAACTTTCTCAAAAGCATTTTTTAAATAACATTTACCTTTTATTATGAAAAACTTTGAAATATACCACAAAAAAACTGTTCTAATTTTGTAAACCAACTGAACTTTTTTTTATTTCAAAAATAAGTAAATTAAGACTATTCCGAAAAATAATTGCTTTAAAGCTTTTTTTTAAGAGCAAATTGCCTTGGAAACTATTATTAGAAAAAAAATATGGATGTTAATTTTAAACTTAAAGAAAGATAAATTGCCTGCTGAATACATTAATATATCTGAAAAAATATATCAACAAGGCAAAACATCATTTCTCTCTGTTGAGCTTCCCCGAATATACGGAAAATAAACTTGCATGTGTGTTTTTTCATTCGAAATTGATTTAAGAAACATCTCTCCTTTTTCTTCCTCGTTCATTTCGATTTTCACATCTTTAAAAAAAATATATATTTCGTTTAGTAATTTTTGTAAAGTGATAGTTACCGGATTTAATCATATTATTCAGTTAAGGTCAAAAAGGCTCGCAACCTGAGACATTTTTTTCAACTTTTTAGAATAAAATTATAGCTTGAATGGTGGTTATACTTTATTCGTTTGTATACAGTGCCATTTAATGGAAATTTTTCATTAATAGTTACGTCAAAATACAATTACTGTCAACAGTTAGCACATATTCGACAACTACGGCCAGTTACAACGATTCCAAGTCAAACGATACAAACAAAAATTGGACTTGAGTACCTTTCAGAAAGAGTTATTTAGATTTAAGTCACGCTTAATAGGAAAAAATGGGCTCCTAAGCATTTTTTTTAAATTACTGATCTTCTGATTCTAAACAACTTTCCTAATAGCACTTTGCGGAACTTTGTTGAATGAGTATAATTTACTCTTGAGCAATATATGTATTTTTTATTTTATTTTATAATGTTGGAAACTTTCCAAGTAACATGGTTTGCGGACCGCTCAGATAGTTTGGATAATAATTGCATTTTGGTAGAGTTATTAATAAGAAAAAATTGTTTCACACTACAATGACCACACCAATAACTCCGCGGTGTAAAAAATCCTTTACTTACATTGGTACATCCTGTAAACAATAAATAAATGCACGAAAATCCACAATATCCAAAGAAAAAATCCATTAAGCGACTAAAGCTTCACTTCTTAACATACCGTCACTGACCACATTTTTTTCTACCTACCTAATGGTGCTAACCTCGATATGTAATTGCAAATATCTAAGAGCTAACTAAATGAAACGACCGTCAGATCCCTTTTTATATTCGGACGCATTAAATGATGCGACCGTGCTTCCCCAATTTGGAACTCTTCTTGCGGTAGTTCTTTCGTCGGATGCGAGTGGACCGCCTACCAGCAAGCGTGAGATGGGTATTCCGACAGCGTTTTCGCCGCATACACAACTTCGCAACAGTTTGTACGACCATGCAAAACGAGTAAGTCACGTTTCGCATTTTCTGTTCGGTATTATAGTCCGCATATGTTAAAAATAAGTTTTAAAAGTCGTATTTTCATTTCGTATTTTCGTGAAAAGGAAGATGTTTTTTGGAAAAAAATATACAGGGTGGTCCAAGATTAAAGTTTGGTTAGTTTCGTCGGGTAAAAATGAATGAAATGAAAAGAATTGTTTTTTTAGTATTTACAAATCTTCTGGATTCCTCATCGGTGAAAAAATCGAACTTGCAGTTAAGCTCTGAAGAAGCCAACAGGATTACTGGCTAAACGTCAGTAAGTTGAATTTATCATCAACCAAAGCAAGAGGAATCCAGACGATTTCTAAATAGTATTAACGTAGCATTTGGAAGTTTGGAATTGGAACACGAACAAATTTCGGCCCATTTTGCTAATGATATTTGATAAACTCCGCATTTGCATTGGAGCTATCAAGTAATTGGGGAAAATTTATCAATTGCATCATTATCTTTTTTTTGTACTTAGCATTTGTTTCATAGCGACTTTGAGTAATTCATAAAAGAAAGTTTTGATGGTAACTTTCCATTATGCATCGTGTCTCAAAAACTTTTGGCGTCTTGAATCTGGATCACCCGGTATATATGACAGGCGATAATTTTTTTATAGGATTTTGGATGAACGCACTTCTCTGTACAAATTGGACTAAATTAAAAAAGTGCACTAAACTGTTAAGTCATGTTAAATAACTCTTGAATGAAAATAAGCAAGTTATGAAAAAGTTATGACGATTGCGCAATCCAAATATATTAGTGCGGCACAAAATTGAAAATTTGTTCTTTTTAGATGTAGAACACAGTAGGTTGTTTTCCAGTTTTCGGTTATAGAATAAAAAAAAACATTAATCAAATTGAAGAGAAAACATTGCAAAAACCAATATCTTATAACTGGAGCTAATAGATGACGGAACGGAATAGTTAAGATAGACTATAGAAAAAATAGCATTCAAATCTATTTTAAATCATCCCCTCATCCGAGTTGAGTAATTTTATTTAGTCTTGATTGCCAGACCAAAAGGAGAAGCTTTACTTAATAATGATCTGTCTTTTATATAAAAAAATAACGGGAAATAAGGGATTAAAAGTAATTTTTATTGAATAAAAATACTAGCAACTTTTAAATACTAAGTTGTATTCATTTGCTCCATCTTGAATCTCGAAATAAACAAGTTAATCAATACACGACACTTTCCTCCTCCAAATATATGTAAAAATATAACTGGCAATGGAGAAAGTAACGAATAGTAACATTTTTTTTGTCTCTTGAGCACCGTCATCTTATTGACAGAAAAGGATCAAATTTGTATATCTCAATGTTTTGGAATATATGGTCCTACTTAATATTATACACACTTAATAATATAAAAAATCAATTTAATGGATTCTTTACAAGGAATCCAACCAAAAACAAGAGCTAAAGTATTCCTTATGGAAAAAATACCGTACCGATTTTCTGGTAGCTAAAAAAAGTACAGTTTAATTTTTAATAGTCCAAAATATTTTGTCCCTAAACCTTAGGCTTAAAACTTTTCCTTAATAGCCCAAAGAATAAATTCTAGAATTGCTAGGAAAATTGATATGGCGACCGTGTTAGAGGCCAGTGATAAAACCTTTAAAAGGAAGCAAGCTGGGAAGAATTCGAAGAATTTATGACAATGTTATCGGAACTAGAACAGCAAAGGAGGCGAAAAAACAATATATTTTTTAGAATTCAGAACTGAGGGGTAAAAAGGGTTAATATAAGGCGAATATATAAGCGTTCAGCGTTAGCGAAGAGCTGCAAGAAAACTGGAGGATACCTACCTTTAAATCACGCTGTCCGGAATAAGCCAAGTCAACCAATCATGTTTGCTGAAAATGAATGAATACAATACAGAAGCATAGAAAGAAACTTGGAGATGAGTTCAAGTGTTGTAAGGCGTCTACTAGTAAGTTAGGCCAGAATTTCGGGCATTTGATTATCTGGAATATCAACAAAAATGTAAAAATAAAAATCTACAATATGAGGGTATTTCGCATTATGGACCAAAAGTATGGGATATAGTTCAAACAAATGGAGGAAAGTTAAAAGCCATGGCAAGAAAATATAACAAATGAGTATGTACGGAAAAGAATGGAGGCTCTAATAAACATCCTAGACACAAAAAATAGATTTATAGAAAAACAGGAAGACCTCGATTCTCATGTCAGTCTCAGAACAACACAATGCAACAAGGAAAGTAAAGTTCCAAACAAGTACATCGTCAATTAACATATTATCAAAACGGTCAAGATCGTACTGAACGCATCCACCACCCGTCAGCAAGATTTTAAAGTTTATTGAAGATCGCGGTGAACGGCAAAACGCTACTCTAGACGGTCAAAAATATAGCTCGTCGTTATTGTGCCAATTAATTGTTCCTATTGTAATAAAAAACTGAAGACAAAGTATGTGTATTAATCGATATAAATCGGTAGTCCCGTTTTGGACGCGTACGCTCGTCTTGTGTGGGATTAGTTTTATGTGAACAATTATTTTAATGTACCATGTACGTTGAAATCTTCATTTGATATACATATCTAACGAATGTATTAATTTAGCGATTGTCTACGGTTATGTCATGACCTACTATTTTATCTCTAATTAAGCAGACGTCATGTCATCGAGGCTGCCATTTCAAGATAAAATCTACGAAAGTTATTGCAAAATATGCGTAATTGTTTTTATTTATTCAAGAAAAGGTAAATAGGGAGAATAACACGTGAAACCCGAAATGTCTACCTTTTGGATCTACTACATTACTACCGATACAGGGTGTTATTTAATAAGTGTCTGATATTTGATAGGATACTTTCTCGAGTATTTTTAATGAAAAAAGGCCCTTTTATTAGAAGCCGCTTGAGGCAACCGTACTCGAAATACTCGTGGAACTGTGTGTGTCATGCAAATATAAAATATTGTGAGTGACAGTTGACAGTGATCTCATATATATATATATATATATATATATATATATATATATATATATATATATATATATATATATATATATATATATATATATATATATATATATATATATATATATATATATATATATATATATATATATATATATATATATATATATATATATATATATATATATATATATATATATATATATATATATATATATATATATATATATATATATATATATATATATATATATATATATATATATATATATATATATATATATATATATATATATATATATATATATATATATATATATATATATATATATATATATATATATATATATATATATATACACAAAACGGTAGTGACCGGCTAGTTGAACAACAAATTTTAGTTAATTGGGGTATCGGTCCGAGGACTAAAATTTGTTATATATATATATATATATATATATATATATATATATATATATATATATATTGGTTACCTACTAAATAGTTTTTTTATTTCAATACCAAAAATACCTTTGATTGGGTCATAAAATTTACTGCTGAGAAAATTTTAATATTTGATAATAATGATACTTTTTGCCAAAATATATTTTTTAAATAAGTTTTCATAAAAAGAATACTGTGTACGGGCATTACTGGTTTTGGAGTTACTTACAGGTTTACTAATGTTGACCGAATTAATAGAATATTTTGAGGAACAAATTATTTTAAACATAAATTTTGTCAGCAATAACTCTTCTATTGTGCAATTAAAGAGATTTGTGATCTGGGTTTCATTTAGGTGCCTTAGATCGTTTTGGTTAGTTTAAGCGTAGTTCTTCAAAACACTCTGTATAACACGAATTCGAATTTGTTCAATTCTGGTTCAGATTTTCAAATTTCGGTGAATCCTATTTTTATTGTAAAGAAAAACAAAAATTATAAAGAATCACCATCGTTATAAAAATAAAAACCAAGACTATATATTATATATTAACTATATATCATTAGTAGCAGCGTGTCACTACGCCACTACCTATATATAATCGTTTTGTACAAAATTTTGTTGAAATTATTTTATTATTGAGCACTCAAAAAGAAATTACCCATAAAGAAATAGATTTAAGCAATTCGTTTCCCAAATGAATGTTGCTGTAACTTTGATGCGGATGAATATTTTTTATACACTTTCGGGTGGTTTTATTCAGTTAAGAATTTATTTCACATTTTATTAACTATTATTATATTAGCACACCATGATCAATAACCTTGTTTATTTCATTTCCCCAGAAAACCATTTTCGAGTTCATATTTGATAAAAATAAAACAGTAGCCTTTAAACATAATAACCGTATTTAATGGCTTCCTAGAATTTCTAACCAATTTGCAAGAACACGTCGATGAACAAATTTTAATTAGACATAAATATTGCTAAATTCTAATTAACCTTCGTGTGAGAAAAAGGAGCTGAATTGTGCTTTTGAATGTTTGCCTGGGCATAAATGTAATACGCATTGACATTTAACGACGGCGTCCGTCGATGAATAAACCGATTTTTCTTAATATTTTACTAACCTCGTTAATTTTGTACCATTTTGTGATTCAACACTGTAAATACAATCTTTAATTGGCGATTCAATGTTTGACCATTACGAGAATTAATTTTTTTAATTATTTTTTTCTCCTAATTGACCAAAATTACGCAATGTCAGTATTTTAAAATAAACAAAAGTGAATTAATTAATACTGAATAAAGCATGTTTCGTTACAAACGACGTAGTGTTACAAATGTCCACTGACAGCGAT